CTTAAGTACTTTAAAATGCATGTACTTCTGAATACTTAAGTATTTTCAAAAGTAAGTACTTCAGTACTTTTACTTGAGTAGATTTTTGACTGAGTAACTTTTACTTGTAGTGGAGTAGATTTGACCAAGAGTATCAATACTTTTACTCAAGTACTAGAGTTGAGTACTTTGTCCACCACTGCTCAAGATGTACAATACTTGCAAACAAAGTGTATATGTTTACACTCTCTTACTGTGCTTTTTGACAATTAGTTAAATAACAGTCAAATATTGAGGAATTTTACATACTTCTTTTTTCCCAACCATGCTGTTCTTGTCTGAGATTAAAATTACCATTTTTATCTATGAAAGTTCTTTTTTTCCTCTTATTTTGAAATGTGAAATAACATTTTAACTTTTAGTAATTGATCAGTGCTAAAACTACTGCTTTAGATAGCTAACTGGTACAATCAGTTTGAATAATGCTGTAAAGCTAACAGCTACACTTGCAGCCACAATACACAAAGTTGTGTCACTACTAGGGCTGGGCAATATGGCCCCCAAAAAAAAAATCTCTGATTTTTTCATCCCAAATTCGATTTTCGACTTTAAATTGATTTTTGCTTCCCACTTAACGGAATGCCTGTTTCAGATGTCGAAACAAATTTGTTGTACTCCTACTTTTTGTAGCAAGAGCCTTTAACAGATTTTGCCATGAGGTGTTTGTTGCTTCAAGTCTGAGGTTGCAAAACCTAACCAGTTCCAGAAAACTGAAGAAGCAGTGCCTTTTTTCTTTGCTAGCTGTCATATTGTCATGTGAGGTTGTCAAGCGTCTTGAGGGACAGGTGGGGTGATCGCTGAACTAATTAAATTAAATCTTTATAAATGGCAAATTCAAATTAATCGATTAAATTGATTTATCGCTCAGCCCTAGTCACTACTGTGTTGTGCTTTTGCAGACACATTAACACCCTGTCAGTTCAGCTCTGGCAGTAGGTTGTAAATTAGAAGACGTCCTGAAAAATGCTGACCTTGACTAGGCTGTTGAAAGGTCAAAGTCAGAGTATGCTAAAAGTGGCATGGCGACAAACTTTAGTTTCACTCACAGCTACACACAAATACAGTGCAGCTGTGGCTGTCTGGCTACCTGACCTACATTAAACTGGTTCATCATTTCCAAAAGGTTTAGTTATTTCAGAGCAGATATACTGCTTAGTTATATAATCTAAATACATTAACATATTTAGATTCTTAAAAGGGATTCACAATTAGTTGTAACATTAGACTTTATTTAATAAACATACATTTTAACTGTAAAATTAAGACTGTAAAAGGCAAAAGTTATGATTCGGCAGCTTCCACTATCTTTTTTTTGGCAGCAGTAATTGAAGGTAATTGTTTCACCATATTAGTTTTTCATATAGTTGGGGAATTTATATTTTATTTAACCAGGAAAATCCCTCTGAGATCACAGATCTCTTATGCAAGGGAGGCCAGGGCCTAAGGGGAAGCTTGACATGCATGTTTCTAGACCGTGGGAGGAAACCGGAGTACCCAGAAAAAATTCACTCAAACTCAAGAAGAAGATGCAAACTTCACACAGAAAGGTATGAACCAGGGATTAAACCCAGGACCTTCTTGCTGTGAGGCAACAATGCCAACCACTTAGCTGTGGTGGTGCCGATCTGGCCCACTCTATTTTACAAGATGATTTCAGTTCACTGAGTTCTGTGGACACTCATTGGTCTTTTAAGATCCTGCCACATTATTTTCATTAGGTTGAGGTCCAAACTTTGGACTACTGCAACCCTTTGATTCGTGTATTTTTCATTCTGGTGTGGATTTGTTGCTCTATTATGAATCACTGTCCTGTTGTTGACCTTATTTCAGTCCAGTTTCAGCTGTCGGTCAGATGGCCTCACATCTAACTTTAAAATACTTTAGCACAAAGAAAAGTTCAACATTGACTCAATGACTGTATGGTGTCCAGATAATGTGTCTGCAAAACAGGTCCAAATCATCTCCCCTCCACCAATATGCTTGACAGTTGGATTGGGATGTTGATGCTGATTTGCTGTATTTGTTTTTATCAAACATGTTGCTGTGCATTATGGCTAGATATCTCAAATTTGGTATCATCTGTCCAAAGGGCACTGTTTGAAAGGTTTTATGGTTCATTCAGATGCAACTTTGCAAAGGAGTACTGACAAGTTATTTTTTTGCAAAGAGGCTTTCTCTTGTAAACCCACAAAACACGCCATACAAGTTCATCCTTCCATTTTCTATCTCTTATCCAGGGTCGGGTCACGGGGGCAGCAGCCTAAGCAGAGAGACCCAGACTTCCCTCTCCCCAACCACTTGGGCCAGCTCTTCTGGGGGAATCCCAAGGTGTTCCCAGGCCAGCTGAGAAGCATAATACCTCCAGCGTGTCCTGGGTCTTCCTCTGGGTCTCCTCCCAGTGGGACATGCCCGGAACACCTCACCGGGGAGGCGTCCAGGAGGCATCCTAACCAGATGCCCGAGCCACCTCAACTGGCTCCTTTCAACATGGAGGAGCAGCGGCTCTTCTGAGTCTCTACTGGATGACTGAGTTTCTCACCCTATCTTTAAGGGAGAGCCCAGACACCCGTTAATTTACCTTTTAAATGGTGCCACATTTGTAAGGAACATGCATTTGTAGGATCAGTAGGAGAGCTGAGCATGTGGATTGTGCACATGAAAAGATTGCCAAATCTTCTCTGTTAAACAGCTTATTTTGTTATTGACACTTGTGAGTGAGCTTCTGTCAAAAGGTGCTGTCAATCAGGTGCCCGGTATAAGATTCATTGTTATAACAAAGAAATGATCTACCAAACACACATTTCTTGATATTTTGTGGTAAGTTTAGACTAGAAACTTTCTTTAACGCTTCCCAGATTGATGGGCAGCAAGCGCTGCTTCTCTAAGTCATCACTGATGAAAATGACAAAACCATGGCTTATATAGAGGCGCTCATACTGATGATTAGTTAAAATGCTACTTTCCATCTAAAATCATAGAGAAGCAGCAAGGATAGACCTAGTTCCCCCATCATTCACACACAATTTTTCTATCTTGGCTAAATAAACAATATAAATAAACATTGCCAGGTTGGAATCTGTTGTGTTTTGTAGACTTGAGGTTAGATTTGAACAAATTAGGAACCTGGTAAAGGTAAGGTTAATGTTATTATGTCATAAGGAAAACACTAGAATGAATGAGGGTGGACTTTTCTTTTATCCTGACAACATTGAAGGTTGTAAAGCTTTGCTGCTTATGGACATTTTGCCATAAACTAGTTTTAAACCATATTTTTCTCTAAGAACTAATAAATAACACCACTTTTCCTTAAGTCTGATCATGTAATGCTGCAGCAGGTGAGTTTTACCAACAACGAACAAGGCAAAGCCCGTTTGCACAAACAAACAAAAAAATAAAAAAATAATCATCTAATTATAGATTTTGACAAAAAAAAGAGTGAATAGAGGTGCATGTTAGTCTGTGATCTCTGCAGACATTTACCTGCCATTCCTGCCGATGCCATGTGCACTTGTGTGGAGTCTGGTTCCAACACGCCATTAAGTTTCTCTTTGGCAGTGGAGTAAGCAGCAAAGTAGATCGCTCTGTTAGAAATAAACAAATCAGTTCTGCAAATGTTGCAACCCTGATGAGACATGAGTCATATGACACATTTTTGGATTTCTTAATAGCTTCCACTCCAAAAATTTAAATCAAAATAAACTTTAAAGAAAATAGTTATTAAATGTGTTCACACTTATATGCACCTTCTATGTTTTTATATATTTCCCTTCAGACAAATGTTGATGTTTCTGTACCCAGTGATTTTATTCATGATTTACTGTGGTTTTATTTATTCCATAAGAAACCCCTGGTATTTCAACAGGATTTTTATATATTTGAATCCACCATGCATATCATAAAATAAATCTGGCCTCAATGTCAGGTTTAGTTTAACAATCATAAAAATGAATTGGGTAGAATGCCAGTAGCAGAAGTGATTTTCACAACAAATCATTTTTGTCAAACAAATACACCATTTGAGAGGATGTACATATTTCATTTGGAGTAATTATCTTTACTAGATTTCATAAATAATAAAGTCATAATAATGAAATTATAATTGTGCCTAATTATAAATGTGAGGCTTTTGTATCTTTCCTGATAATGATGCAGTGCAGCCTGAAGTTTGGCTCATTTGTAAAACTAGTGTTCTGCCAAATCCCACTGTTAATGATTCCCATCTATCACATTATTAAAGCTACTTTGCACATACAAATTTGAAACTTCATAAACTAAAACACTGTGAAAAAGGCTTCTTTGCCTTTTACACAGTGAACACAGCATTTATTTACCAAAGACCTTAACTAAATGTTCTGCATACAGCAAGCAGTGGCACCTGCTTGCCTGAGCATTAGCAACACCCCATTAGGCCCAACTTTCCTTATCTCATTATTACTGAAACACTGGAAAAGCTGTCTGTGTGTGTCCAATTTATGCTCCTGCTGTTGTTATGTTTCCAAAAAGCAGAAACTGCTGAGAAAGCCATGAGCATGAATGGCACCTTAATGATAATGGAGGCTTAATGCTTCTTTGTTACCAGGTAACCCCAAGGAGCATAGGAATTGGAAAGAAAAAATGTTCTAAATATAAAAATCATATTTCGCAAAAATTGTGGCTCTAAAGAAGAGTAAAAATTTAGCATTTTTGTCAATCAAAACAATTTCAAATGATCATAACAGGACTCAAAATAGAAACCCATCTGCGGGTGCCTAAAAACTTCTATGATAAATAAATTAGGATCCTTATGTTGAAAAAAAATAATGGAAAATAAGTTAGGGCACTTTCAAAAACACTATTTTGTCTGACTACAATGTGGTAACAGTCAAATAAAGTGACTTATTCTTTAAAAACATTTTGCACCAAAAGTCATCATGCTGTTATTTTGTAATCAAATATATGAAAAATACTCAGGCTGGATGGAGGCCTAATAAAACATGTAGAATGTAGAACATGTTCAGTTTCTTGCCTTTACGGTCATACTCCTGGCGGTAAATTGCTGAGATTAATGTGTTTATTAAGAAAGTGGAAGAAATTTTACCTGGAAGGTGCCACACCCACTAAGTTTGGCCCCAGGCCCCTGAAAAGAGAGCGAGGCCCTTCTTTCTCCAATATCAATCTGAAAATAAAACACAAAAACACACATTTAAACTATTTTAGTCATATATTGGTTGGTTGAACATTTTATCCTGCAGATAATGCAGTCAGCCATGGCTTTTCTACCAGTGGAGAGACTGCTCTCTCTCTCTTTTGCTTTGTGTGTTAGTAGGTATTTATAAAATTTCAAAAATTAATTGTTATTGCAATATCGACAATTTGCAAAAGACAGCTTAGACTGCACCATTATTTTAAGTATCGTGCATTCATGTTTTACATACTGACAATTTATTTAGTCCATCCAAAAGACTCACTGCCTAAACCTGCTTTAGATGATATTGATAACACATGAAAAAGTGACGAGTGAGAAAAAAAGAGAGGGTTAATTGCCAATGATATTGTCACAATATTAAACAAAAATATTGCACATCGTAAACATCTTGCTGCCCCTGGATTAAGCTTTTCTAATATTGTGCAGTCCTAATGTTTACATATGTACTGTAGGTATGTATAATTAGGTATACAGTAGGAATGTGCGATATAAACGATATACAGTAGAAACGATGTAAATTTGTCCTATGATAGAGATCTGTAGTCTACCGGCCAACCGCGCAATTCTTTTTGATGATGTAAAATGAGGAGGGGGGAAAAAAAACACCCGAACCAGGTTGGGTTCGGGTGTGCGAAAATGAACGCCGAACTGTTGACATACTGTATTTATGTGACGGCGTGTCCTCCGGTCGGATGCCGACCGACTACACTGCCTGCTGCGGGAGGAGCGCGCGCCGCAGCACATGGCGACACAGCGTGGCGACAGTCAGTGCAGGTGAAGTCAGTGCTCCAGGACTCACAAAAGCTCGCTGAGTCTGGACCCCGATTCTCCTGCGGTCATAGCGCGACGCCGCACGGCCAAATGCGTGCGCACTCTGCACCCACTTCGTGCGCGTTCCAAAGCGCGACTATAAAAACTCAGCCTTTATGCTGCGTTCACACCGAACGTGATTTCAGCTTCAAAATCGCTGCCAACGCTTCAAGTTGGACGCTGGTGTACTTTGAGGTCCAACGCAGGACAGCTCTTGAAGCGCTGCATGGCAACAGCCTCCCCGCCCCTCCCTCCTCTGTCGGGCTCTGTTTAATGTCGGACGAGGAAGTGGCTTTGCTTTATTTACAGAGAGCAAGAGCATGTCACTTTCATCAGATAATTAATTCATAATTAATTCACCAGATAATTCAGAGACATTCTGAGTTTCATCACCCAGGAGCTGCGGGAGAGGCTCACAGCTCGCTTTCAGGACTATTTTTGTCCCCAGTCCAGTCTGATGAGTCGCTGCCACTCATTGGTGAGGATATCTCCTGCAGGACACCGACTGCAGGCACTTGATTTCAGCTAAAGAGCTCCTCTCCGTCTGTTTCAGGTTAGTGGGCATCATTCAGTAAACTGTCCCGTCGGGAAATCTGTCACTACGTCACACAGTGGAGTCTCTCTGATTGGTTGACGCGGCGCGTCAAGCTGCAAAAGTTCAGATTTTCTAACTTCAGCGATTTGCGCATCAAGCATGTCGAACGCTCAGATCGTTCAAATCGCGCTGCTCTAATCGCACTTGAGGCGCCACAGCACTTCACGACGTTGATTGAAGCGCGTCCACCATAGACTTTGAATGTAAACCTGCTGCTCCTGATGCTGAAATCGCGTTTGATGTGAACGCACCATTACTGTCTCCTTGTACAGCAGAGAAGCGCTATGAGAAAGGGTGACAGTCAGACTGTCTTTCAAAAAAAAAAAAAAAGGTAAAGCATAAACGGGATGATTGTCACCCCGCCAGAGCATGCACAGATTAAACACGTGGAGTGCAGAAAAAAATAATCTGCAAAGTGTGTAGAAAAGAATAAATACAAACAATTTGTTTTACCACCTTAAAACAAAACAGGTTATTCCAAACACAACATCAATGGATGCAGATATCTATTACATTAAAGTTAGTGTGTGTGTGCGTGTGTGTGTGTGTGTGAGATACTTGATTTAACCAGGTAGATCTCCCTTAAATTTAGATTTTTATGGGAGACTTAAAAGTGTCCCTTAAAAAAGGAGATTTTAAGGTCTAAATTTTTTTACCTATACATATTTATTCCACTCAATTAATGTGTGATTTATTTATTTTCTATTATAAGTTTTATATCGTGATATATATCGTTACCGCCACTCATCATAATGTATATCGTGATATGAATTTTTTGCCATATTGCACATTCCTAGTATACAGGTTTGCATGTATATAAATATTGTATATTCTGTATGTAATATGTATTGTATATATGCATGTAGGCAACATGGTAGAAGAGTGGTTAGAACTGCTGCTGCATAGCAGCATAGCAGCCAAAACATCATAGGTTGGATTCTCAGCCTTTCTGTACGAAGTTTGTTTGTGTCCCCATGCATGTGTGGATTTACTCTGGGTACTCTGGATTCCTCCCACAGATCAAAAACATGCATTAGGTGAAGTGGTTACTAAAAATTAAATAATAAAAAATGTTAAACATTTTAACACCTCTGGCACCACTATCAAACCAAAGTTTAAATTAACCATAACATGAAGACACTGGAGAAATTAGTCCTCTCCCACATCAGACCCACATTTGATGCTTCCGAACATCAATGTCCACCTGGATACCCTCTTAAAGTAACATCAGGATTATGTGCTTTATTTTTTCAAGAGCATTAAACACCATCCAGTCATTGCTGCTTGGTTAAAAGTTGGACATGGCAGGTGGGGTCAGAGCTTCTTTCCTGGGCACTGATTTTCATCAAAGTTCAGGAAAACTATTTTGTTAGACTACAGTACATGTGGCTCAAAAATTGTCTGATGATTGTCTGACACTGCTCTCTGAAGTACAGAACAGTTCTGTCACCATTCCTATTTATCCTGTACACTTTGGACTTTAGTGCAATCAGGGCAAGAGGAGCTGTGGACAGGTCAGTAATTCTTGATGGTTCTCAAATAAATGCAATATTTCTGGAACTTTGATTGTAATTACCAGAACAAGGTCAAAGGGACACACAAAAAATACAAAGATGAATCAGGTAGATTCCATAGGACAGGGATGTATATCCAGTTTAGCAGGTTGTAGTCTTTTATAAATATCTGAACTGCTTTAAAGTAGACATTAGCTTCAAGCTATTCTCTCTCTCACAAGGGTGGGTCTTCTTACATTCAAAACCAGAACCCAAATCCAAATTTATTATTGCTGAGTCATGGTGAGTCAAAAAAAAAGAAGAAAAACAATTTTATACCCTACCTGTCAAAAGTTTTAGAACACCCTCATTTTTGCTGTTATTTTTATTAGAACTTCAAGCAGCTCAAGTCCACAGGCATTAGTCAAGCAGTTTGGGGACACGAGGGCAGGTCCATTCATAAAGGAAGAGGGTTGAGCAAATATCATTTTCAGGCTAATTTTCTTGCGCATAAAATGTATACCTTTTTTTTGGCAATCAATATAAGCTGCAAAATCGCTACCAGTTATTGAGAAGGCTGCTCCAACAATGACCCTAGCTTACATTTTGTGCTGCCCTGCATGTGCATTGAGCGGTGCTGCAAAGAAAAGTGTCCCCATGAAAGTTTACTGGCAGGTGTGACGTAACATTCCTATCATTTTCATGCTATTTAAACTGGTGTGTCAGTACTTGGAAAATTCATAATAAAGAAAATAAAAAACGGCTTTTGGTACAAACCGATATACCGTCCAGTTCCACTGACATTACCATTATATGTTTCTGTGGATTCTCAGTCATCCAGGACATGGAAAATTAAAAGAAAAAAAGACAAAACAACTGAATTTGGGTTGCATTTGCTGGCAGTGTGAATGTAGCAAAAGGGACACTGGTCACACTGAACAATGACAGCCACAACACAATGTAGACTGAGGACAGAACAACAACTCTGTAGTCACACATTGTTGGGAATGCTGGTAGCACAAGCTAAATCTGAAAATAGCTCGACCAATATCTTACTTTTAGTTTAAAATTTGAAAATCAGACCTATGCACAGAAAAAGGGCACACTTATATCATAGTGTAGACAAATGATACTACATTTATAGGCTTAACAGACAAGAATGTAGTCAAACACTCACCTGAGACAGTGAAGGGGGCCTGGTGGAGATATTCGGGTCATACTAGCTCCATTGACAGTACTTAGCTGAACCTCAGACACAAAAAGAGTGATGGATGATGACTGCAGACGAGTCTTCACGACCTCCAACGGACAAGTCAGTATGGCTCCTACCGTACCCCCACATCTGGCACAAAGAGAGAGAGGGAAACAATAAAAGTGAGATGGTAAAGATATGTCTCAACAGAAAGACCAACACTGATGGGTTCATGTCTTCAGAAACTTCTGAGATATTTCTATTCAACAGGTTCTAACTGATGCTTGGTGCATGCCATCTAATAGATAATAGATAAACTAAGAAATGGCTCCACATTTTACATTTATTTCATAATAAACATAGATCTGTATCTTTTAAAAAAGGACAATTTTCCAGTGTAATTAATATTTCAAGCTAAAGCAGCTCTGTAAATTTACAGAAGTCACTAGTTCAAATATTCAATCTTAAAAAGACTGATAAGAGTACGAAATAATATTGACATAAATGAACTGATCCTAGATAGACTGTACTGGCTTGAGTGGCGCTGGGTAGGGCTAGACTAGAGGATAAGCAGTTATCTCTTCTTTTGGTTAATTTTCAACCTGAACCAAAGCAAAGAGAGAAAGTCCTGTCAAAACAGTCTTTGGCAGAGGAAAACTAAGAGAGGACATGTGGCTTCAGTCCATAAATAACGGAACACAGGACAGTAGAGTGGTCACAAAAACATTATCCAATGTAGGTGAGCACACTTAAGCACTAGCTTTGTCAGTGTGGTCCTCCACACGATTTAATCTCATGTAGAATATGAATGTGTGTGTGTGTGTGTGTGATGATTATTGTTATGTAAGTGGGTTATTTACATGTTTTTAAACACTTTATAAAGCACTGAGAATCATTTATAAAACTTAACATACTGTTCATACACTAAAAAAGCCTCACAATTTGCTAAAGTGTTGCTTTTTCATCAGTGCCAATCAAATACTGCTTACTTTTTAAAACAGATTAAAAAAAGATCTAATATAATTAGTGCTAGTAAGTCACTGACAGATTTTTATTTAAAATTTCAGTCATAAAAAATGAATTATGAAGACTTTATTATGACTTTACCAAATAGTGAGCAAGTTTCAATGTAAGAACAGTTTTTTATGATTGATGATGCTTTAAATCAGTGGTTCCCAAACTTTTTATCTTCTGACCCACAAAATATCCATGGCAAAAACTTGTGACCCCAAATATTACTGGTCTGAGTACACAAACTTTGTTAATAACCCTAAAAACACAGGCTTTTTGACAATCTGAACAGCTTGTACACAGATATAAATAATATTTTTTACTTATTTTGTGTTTTTATAATAATTATAGGGGAAATATTACATCAGCAATTATTTTATTACCCTTTAAATTGATTTCTGGAGATTATCCAAGGTGCTTCATGACCCATAATTGGGTCCCAAGCCCAACTTTGGGAACCAAAGTGCAGTGGTTCCCAAACTTTTCAGCTTTTGACCCACAAAATAACAGTAGCAGAGACCTGTGCCCACAACTATTTTTGTATGATAAACATTTGTATCAGGTCAACTAAACATGGGCATAGTAAAAATAATTTTATACTACATTTATCCATTTTAAATWCACTAACCTCACTCCTTTGTAACAACTAAGACAAAAATGTAATTAATTCCAAAAATCTTTTCAGGACCCCACCTTGATGTTTCAGGACCCCACTTTGGGTCCCGACCCCAACTTTGGGAAACACTGATTTAGATGGTGTTTACACATGTGAATAAACTATTTATAAACTATTAATAAACCCTATGATAAATAGACCCCTATTGGGTACGTGGCATCAAACCAAGTATTCTTGAGGTTGCTCATTAGAGTTCATGTTCATGTATTAAAATCAGGTACAGGTCTGGATGTAAATTGCTCAGAGATTACAAAGTTGTTCACTATTAATAAAGCTTTTAATGTTACGTTTCCATACGTGAAGAAAACGGGTCAAAATATTCGGATTTTTACTTTTTTATCACTTCAGTAGAAAGAGCTTAATATTAGTTTCTTAATTTCTTCATCAGTGATTTTTCCCCCCCCGGATTTTTACTTTTGTACGATTTGTTCAAACCCAAATGAACCGACACGCCCCATTTCCTGAGGCTGTGTGATAAGTTATGTTTTCCCAAACCACTGCAAAGTAAAACTGGATGAGGAAAATCAATTTAGATATTGTCCAGCCTTGTTGGAACAATAAATAATTACTGTAAAATGCAACACAGCAAGACACGGTTCAGATTTATGCACATCTAAAAACAAACAGATTTCTCGTAGGCTCCTTAACTTTTTTTTGTCTTTGCCGTCGAAATGCACAAGCTAATATATGATGCACTTCAGGCCGAAACACACAATTAGCTTTATGGAGCAAATGTCATATTTGGTAGTTTTACTAACAGTGAGAATTTTAAGAATCACAGAATAGCATTGCTGCTACTGACAGGGAAAACAGAATGGCGATCACAAACCTACTGCAGCATTTTCATTCAAATATTTAAGAGTCATTGAATGTCAACTCGGGAGCAGATGATTACTTTGCTCCAATGTCCGACACATTCATGCTTTGCCTCATTTCTTCCCAGTTACCCTTATAAAACTGACGAAACCGCAGACTACACAACTGCACACAACCCAAAACGAATCTAGCTTTACTTGCTAATATCTGCTAGCATTTAGCGTGCAGCTAGCTAGCTTCAGAGTGCAAGACTGAATAATACTCACCCTCCAGAAAACAGATGAACTAAGGTATCTCTTTGACTCATTGTGTATCATATTCGGCAACCGTTCGCGGAGCACCATGCAAGAATAACGACGGTGTGGGGTGAAGAGACGGGGGACAGGGTCTCTCAATCCGAGGCTGTTGTGATAGAGGTCAGCTACGTATGAAACGAGCTAACTGCTAACTTAGCTAACTCGCGTTAGCTGACAAAGCTTTCCGGCGCTAAAGGTGGATGCTGGAGGGCCAGCTTGGTCGTCTTCTTTTAAAACGGGACAATGCTTCACCACAGTGTGCGTATCCCCAATGCTTCGGATGAATTTCAGTCTTGTAGCAATCCGAGAACTGGTAACCACTTCTGACCTCCTCACGTTGGTGTGTTTTGCTTCTCAGTGCTCTCTCTGACGGTCAGGTTGCAATGTTTATTGACGAATGGGAAGCCGCAAAACAGTGGACCTGATTGGCTGACGGATGTCTTGAGCCCGCCCCGTCACTACTCCTTCACGTGACACTCGCTTTTACTTTGAAGGGCGGGGCTCATTAATCAGTACCACTCACGGAGAAAAGAGAAATAAATTCGATTATGTTAAATAAATTAACAAGTCACGAGAATGACTTAACTATTTTATCATCCGCTTCCGAAAGATCATAGAAATCAATAGAAATGTTTTCTGCTCGCATTTTCATGTGTGCTTTCATGCACGCATGTCAATGATGCAAGTGTGTGTATTCACATCTTTTATCAAAATATAACATGAGCCACTGTACGAATTAAAAGTAAACTTACAGAAAGTAATCACTGACTGCACATCTACAGTGCAGCCAGCTCAATTTGTTTGTTTGTTTGTTTGTTTGTTTGTTTTGAGGTATGACTAAAGGGTTGACTTTAGCAGCTAATCCATTCATGAACTACTAAGTGGATTGTAATGAAAGCTTCAGTAAATACTCATCAGATGTACACCTACAAATGATTACCCTTTGGAGTAGATTCACTTCAAGATGTCTGCCACAGCTAATTTGCATAAACCAAAAAAAGTATCAATAACTCAGTAAATAAACAATAAGCAAAACTTAGTTGCAGTAGTTGACAGTCATCTATGTAATATGAATGTGACATCTGACAATGTATGAAATTGTGCACATATTTTCTGGCATTGAGCAAAAATGGAGACAACTCTGTCACCTCTCAAGAAAAAAATGTCCTAATTTTAAAACTCTGGCAGGGGGTAGGTCTATGCATTCCTTTGGTTTTGTTATTGTTTGAGACAATAGTTTATTTTATATTGGCAACTGAATTCATGGTAGGAAAAAAATGTAACTGAGGGTAGAAAGTCAAGTTTACACAAAAAATTAAGGTTTTCAAATGGGTAACTGAATGAAAAGCACATGCTCCTTAATTTTATCATTACAGTTCTAATTTTCCAGATCATGTGCCACTAGTTCTTATGTAATTACATTACTGTGTGAAAAGAAAAGAAGGCTTATCAACTGTCTGCTGGGGTTACCACTTTGGTTTGGTAAATTTTATTTATTTTATAAAGAAAAGAAAAGAAAAGAAAAGAACATTTAAATCTTTACTATCACAGTATAGATGTGTGTGTGAGGTTTCTCATTGATCAGTGACACAGTCTGATGTTGCAGGTTTGACAGGGTGCATTAGGAAGGGCCAAAAAATAATCACCAATTTTTTCACTGTGAACCGAAGGGAACAGCCTAAAAAACAACAGCAACAACACAGACATGATGCACTTGGAAAATTAAAGAACATTGGGCCTCATGCAAGAACCGTTCGTACGCACAGATTTGTTCTTAAGTTGTGCGTACGAGTGATTTAGGAGAA